ACAGCCTCGTTTAAAGTCAGCATTTCGTAAATGTTATGGTCGTTATAATGACCTTGTTAGCAATGAAATATATGGAGATAACGAACAGTATTCAAGCTCAAAAGTCCATTAATCAATACAAAATAGGAGCAGAGCAAACACTGACCTCCAAACATTAGAGGTGGGATCAGGTGCCATGGAGGAGTGAGCATCCCCTGCCGACCGGTCACACCCGCCGTGTGCTCCTTGTCATGATCAGGAAATAACCTATCATTGGGTCGTATTTAGGCTGACGTGTTTCATACCAATTGTTATGCCTCTGTGTTTGTACTGAATTGACTATGGAAAGCTCCGTCTACCTGATCAATACATAGGGCTCACGGCGGGTGTGACCGGTCAACAGAGGATGCTTACTCCTCCTAGGCACCTGGTCCCACCTCTAGAATTCACAGGGATCCGTGTTTTATGCCCTCTACATATTTGCATTGTTTATGGATTTTTTGAGATCGATCACTGTTTGTTATCTTTTACATTCATGTTGATTTGTATTTTTTATTATTAATTTTATACTTGAATGACAAGGATATTGTATATTTTGATTAGAATATGATGCGATATACTGTACATTTTGAAGATCATAAAAAATATTTTCTTCCAGAGAACATACTACATCCAGGATTGACACTGTTTGTAAGTTTGAAGTGTAAGATACTTCTATTAAAAATCATTACCATTATTTAAATTCAACAATGTATGTTTAAGGGTCATTTATATCAAAACATCATTCAAATAGACAAATGCAAGTCCACGTTTTTTTTTTATTCCAAGTGAATAACAATTTTATCATTGTTATTTTACAACTAATACTTGAAAGGAAATTCTATCATTATTGTAGGGGAAGCCATACCTTCTGTCAATACCAAACGCAAAGGATTTGATATGTACAAAGGACACATCATGTATATTTCCTGTTTATTTTTCCTCTATAGACGGCAAGTAAGTTTAACTGAAATCAGAACTTATTACAAAACGTTATTTTCTCTGAAATCATGACATATTTGAAAGTACAAGTATTATCATCTAGATTAGTTTGTTACGCAATGAATATTTGTCCATTTAATTTATAAGTTATGAAAATATACATATATCATATATATTATAAATAAATTTTCTGCTTCTTTTTTGTTACAAGTTCCTGATTTCGAAATAGGGGTTCTCACTACATTTAAATGATATTTTCCTATGTTTGACATCTGTACAATTTTCAAATCTGCTTTATCTTTTCAATTTCGTTTTGATGCTCTAAAGAGAAATATATGGAGATAACGAACAGTATTCAAGCTCAAAAGTCCATTAAACAATTATTAATATATTCATAACGTTGCCCTTCATTTCAAATTGTGATTATGAAATACTGTAAAATGAGGCAAATAAATAATAGTATTTTTTAACTAAATGTTAATCAACAGAGTAGTTGTCAGTCTCAAAAGCATAGCAAAGACCGAAGATAACGTCAGCATTCTGTGTAGGAGGGAACTCATAAACGGCAGAATCCAGGTCACGGTTGCTCAAGTAGAGTTTCTTGCAAGCCAAGCTGGTCTCAGAAAAATATGTTTGAATGCATCAGACAGGTATTACCACAAATCATTTTATATGCATGAATGAACATGTATATGTTATTAATATTAATTTTTTTTTATCATCGGCTAGTGTCAAAATACAATATACCATCTGCAAATTAGCTTTAATGGCAGGCAATTTAAACCTTCGGGCTTTAACACAGAATGAAAATTAAGCATAACTTTAGTAAATATCTGTTTGTCTTTATGAAAAACGAGGTATTAAGTAAATAAATATATATAACGTTCAGAATGTGTGAATTATATGTGCTGTGGAATTTATTTAAGCTAAGTATCCACAGAGATTGTATACTGTTAATGCCCTTGATATGAGGCAATGAAAGTTTACCACATTAATACTAATAAACATACCAACACAATCAAGAAATAAACTTTGGAACTTAAGTCCAGTACATTTATAAGCCATGAAATTAAACTGCAGGTGTAGAATTCTATTCCTCTTTTCAGCAATACCTCCACCGATCTGTGTGTACACATTAAAGTACCATCCCAAGGTACGTTATTTCTTATAAGATGGACAAATATAATCATTTGTTTTTACAACACATAGAATTGGAGAAAGAGATAAATCTTTTTATCAATAATAATTTGAAAATATATCTTTTCATTTATTTCATAATTAACTTTTACAAAAACAATATTGTGCAGTACGTTATCTTTGTGTGTTTTATGTACATGTAACAACATTCAAAATGACATTAAAATCTGATTTTTATCAAAAAAAAAAAAAAAAAAAAAAGAGAACATAACAAAGATAACAATATTATTTCAGTGAAATGAGAAATATTCTCAAACTTCATCCCAAAATGTAGTATAGCATTTGACAGATATCTGTAAAATTTGTCACATAACAACCTAAAGCATAGATGCACACAAGAATTCATTATGGAATTAAATGTAGACATATAAAACTTCGTGACGTATATTTATGGAACAGTTATTACGTTACGTGATTGACATTTAATTAAAAGCCCCTTTTAAGATTATCTGAGTAATGTTTGTCTGTCATTCATTTTGCCAGTCGACCACTGTCTGTCTGTTAACTTTTCAACTTTTTGATTTCGTCTCCAGATTCATTAAGTTAATTTCGAACAGATTTGTCCGCCCAGAGCATCCTACAGTAAGAGTATCTGGTATAGTAAAAAAAAATTCAGCAAGGGTACAATTTGTATAGTTATCACGTGTAAAATAATGTACTATATTTTGATGTTAATAAATTCTGGATTTTAAATTGATGACTTTTAGAAAGGAGTTAGCCCCAGGTTGGATGGGGACACAATGGGCGATCAATACTTTTCACTGGAATCTATAGAAAAAATCTTTGAAAGTCTCCAAGTGAAGAACAACATCTTATAAATATCAATATGCGAATAGCAACCATAGTTTGTTCAGATCATGGCACCTTGTGGTAGAATGAGGCTTTAACAAGGAATCAAAGTTATTGTCACATTAATATCTACATGTTCCTAATCGAACACGCAAGCAATTTATATTTACCTGTGGGGAGCCTCCATTTTTCACCGGGTTTATGTTACCCTGTTTTATACCTCAAATCACCGGACCTTTAAAATATTTGTAAGCCCGTGCTTCAGTTTGGACACGGCAGTCCTGGGAGAAGGACGTTTTCAAAACTTCTCAAGATCTGTTTGATTTATCTTATACACATGGCAGACCACTGAGGGTTTTACTTGTTTAGAATTTAGTTGTATGGTCCTGCTTCTCTGAGGTAAGCCTTATTTGCGTTTGTTTTTAATATTTTATAAAGTTGTAAATATCTTAAAACACCCAGATACGGAATTTCTAAAATACGCAACTTTAAGCTATTCCGTTTGATATTTTTAAGTTCTGTTATTTATAGTTACTCGAAAATGTTTGAGTCTTAATTGTACGGTGGATTGTTTGTGTCTTTATTTGTCGGTTCTACGTTCTGTATTAACTATTGTATAGTAAAGCATTTATTGCGTTGCACATATTGTACTCACGGAGTAAGTTGTATGTCTATATTATTCTGTGTATGATATTTAACAGGTCTCATTCCTGTATAGTAGTGTAGAGATGGCGGCCGGTACCAGTCACATCTCATAGTCTTGAACGCAAGACGGACGTGTAACCTCCTCGGCACTGGAGAGGGGGAAGTGTAAACCTTTCTCGTCACTGGAGAGGGGTGTCTGAGCCTCATTAGCGGCAAGAGACTGTAGTGTAGCCTAAACACCGTGTGGAACAAAACCATAGACGTAGTAGACATTCTAGGGACACGGACGACCACACACCAAACCAGTTTATTTTGTTGTATAATATTATTTTGTTAATTAAAATGTAAAGTTAAAATGTAAAAAAGATTTTCTGTTATTTATTTAGGGGAGTTTGGATCACTATTCTCTACGCAAGGTCATTATTTGACAGTTATGCATTGGAATATATGGGGAAATGGGGAAATATTTCAAAATATTTTTCAAATGAACAAGAGGGTGAATGATCAGTTATGTTAATGTGCACGCATCCCAAAGCAGTCAAATGCTGACTAAAGTTTTTCATACTAATTGTTAGGCCATTATATACAAACTGAATTGTCGACGGATTTTACCGTTATTTCCCGATCATGACAAGGAGCACACGGCGGGTGTGACCGGTCGGCAGGGGATGCTTACTCCTCCATGGCACCTGATTCCACCTCTGATGTTTTGGAGGTCCGTGTTTGCTCTGCTCCTATTTTGTATTGTTTAATGGACTTTTGAGCTTGAATACTGTTCGTTATCTCCATATATTTCATGTATACAGTATAAAAATATTAAGAGTATCTTCTTTAAATAGTTAGGTTGTTATATTCATAATCCTCCCGGTATTCGAGTATCCATAATGTTATGTGGATTCAAGTTTGGTTAAGTCATGAAACCACTTGACTAAGATAATATAATACAAAACAAACCTGTTCATGAGAATTAAGAAAAATATATGCAATTATTCTGAATAAAGCAGATGTTACTTAGATGAGCGTTGTGGCCCATTGGCTTTTTGTTTCAATTCTGTTTCTTTTATTTTCAGATCCATGTAGTTTTTTCCCTTGCAAAACAGGTTTCTGTCAAGCATTCAGTGATGATACTGGATTTCGTTGTCGTTGTCGGCCTGATTACACTGGTAAAACATGTGAAACGAACGAAAAAAGTAAATCTCTCTCTCTCTCTCTCTTTGACCGAATGTTATTTTATCCATGATTATGATTTATCCTGGTCATTGTATTTAAATCCCCTAGGAAGTGCTTAATATACTTTAAAAATCTTTTTTTTCTTTCAGAGATAAGTGCTTGTAGCAGTAACCCTTGTTACGGTAGAGCACAATGTATAAATGTACAGTCTCCTCCATATTATTTTTGTTTTTGTGAGCATGGTAAAACTGGAGAGAAATGTGATACGGGTAAATATTTCTTATTTACAATTACATCATAACACACGCAGTACATGTAATGTTAATATGACTTGAAATTCCAAAAATTTCAGAAAGGAAAAGGAATATTTTACAGATTTATGCATGTATACCCAGCTGTATAAGAGGAAAAGTAAACCTTTTCCATAATATGAAGTACTAAGCTATTATTTATCATTTAAGCGTGGGTGTGTAATATACAAGCATTTGATTTAAACATTCAAGATGAAAATAACACTTTTAAAATGTTTCTACATTGCATTATGTATGATATTGTTAAAAACGTATACTGACACATATCAAAACAGCACATTTGGTTTTCATCTGAAAAGTCTTTAAGATGATTCATATTGTTTTGTAGACATTGACAAGTGTGTGGAACATCGCTGTACAAGGAACGAAATGTGTTATCATGAGAAGTCTCAAAATTATACTTGCAGTCCAATCAGTGAGTAGATAAAAAATTAAACTGATTTTTATTTTTTTTTTATTTGTAATTGAAATAATTAATAATCAAAGAAATAACTATATCTAAAATATTTCAAATCCGAAACGTATCTTGAAAGAGAGTGAAAACTAATTAATTTGGTATTAACACTATGTTTTAGCCATTCATCAAAGGTTTCTTGACATCAAAATGTACATAGCATCTCTTTCCTTTGTCATGAAAGATTACATCATTTGATCAAACTTGGATTTGCACAACTTGAGGATGCTTGCCTATTAATAAGAATAATCTAGATCTTGCTATTCTTGAAAAAATATAAAAGAAATTTCTTATTTATATTTTTATGTAAAACTTTGATCGCCTTCTGTGTCCCCATCCTACCCCAAGGGCCACTATTTGTAGTAATTTATACACTATATCGACATGTATATTTTACATTATATCAGGATGCTTTCTCTCTCAACTTTTTCGGCCCAGTGGTTTCTGAGAAGAAGAACTGATTATTTACCCTTTTGAGAGACCGTGGTCTATTTTGTACATAATTGAATCCCCCAGGATACTTTGTGCCAAGTTTTTATGAAATTGGCCCTTTGGTTCTGGAGAAGAAAATAAAATTGTGAAAAGTATACGAAGACAACGACGACAATGGACGAATTTCAACCAATGCAAGCTCACTTGAGCCTTGAGCTCACGTGGTCTAAAACCCTCACAGAAGAAAAAGAAATTCTTACAGATTTTGTTGTGATTTGTTTCGAAAGTTGTTTGACCTAAGTATATAAATCATAGTGTTGCATGTCTTAAATATGCAATCCTTTCATATTTTTTAAATATGTAAAATCACGAAGTTAACAATGGGATCATGAAAACATGTACCCTCTTATTTTCTGTGATTTTTAATTGTATTCACTGATTTTCTTACTGTAAAATGGGTTTAGATACAGTTGATATCTGTCACATTCACAGTTGTGGTCATATGGGCTGTATTGTTTTTGCCGTTACTTTTTTACGTTCCCAAGAATGATTGAATTTTTATTATTCCCTCTGACCAAAGCTTAAAGGAATGATATCAGTTAATGACCTGTATTTGAATCTGTACGTCCCTTACTGTTTTTCGAGAAGACATGTAGAGTGATGTTTAACCGTGTAGTGTCAAACTTTCCACAGAGGTATTAAGTAACCGTGGCAATGTGCCTATAGCTCTGGAGCTCAAACGGTTTTACATCTAGGTCAAAGACAGCTAAAGAAAATGTAAAATAAGTCATGTATACAAATTAAAGAGAACCACCAAACCTTTCAGTCACGTGCTTGAGATTCATATACATGTACTTGACGAGGAAAACAATCCAGAGTTAATAAAATCCCAAATTCAAGGTCAAAAACATGCAAAAACATTTTGGTATTTTGAAAGCTCAAAATTCGTTGGCATTTCACGAATCAGCTATTCATGGAGTTCTTACTTATCTTCTTTAAGAAGTTTGAGAGAAAGTAACATTCTTGTTATATCAAACAGCATTTGTTAAGAAATCATTTTATACAATGCTTTAAAGGAGTTTTATGTATTTTTTCCCCCAAAAATACCACCTGTATTCATTTGATTTTTATTAAACTGTTGATATTTGTTTTGCAGGACGAGCTACTGGTATGACACTCTCATTATTTTCTTGAGATTTTTTTAAAATGATGGATTTATTTTTTTTTTTAAATTCTTAAATCAATTAATATAAACAAACCTTGTGAATTCATTGATTTAATTTTTTTGTATTATAGGATGCGGTGCCTTATGTGCAAATGACAATAGTTCCATCTGCCTCTACAATGAACTTCATAACCCAGCCTGTTTCTGTGGGTTAGGTTTTACGTATACCGGGGGTTACTGCAAACAAAGTAATGATTATCAAATAAAACAAAAATTTGATATACTTTCTTTTCATGTTTTATTAGAAAAAACATGAATAGCTACAGATATTGATAAGGCTCCTTTTGCAGACGCAACTGATACAGAAAGTTGCATCGCTTTTTATCTCTGTTGACTGATATCTTTCATACAAATTATATGATCATTCTTTTCACATTGAATTGTCTACGGATTTGTCTGTTTACCCGATCACGACATGTACCACAATGCTTAGTACTCATTGGGACCTCACAAATTGTATTGTTTTAATGGACATTTAAGAGTGATCACTGTGCGTTAACTTCACTTTCATTATTATAAGTTTTGGATAACATTTTCTCAAAATATAATTTTTTTTTCAAAAGTTTTTTTTCCAAAAATCTTATACTGATTAATATAAATTTTACAAAGAATATGTTTTTTTGTTCATTTTGTAAACTGATTTCATTAACGAGTTTCTTTTCAGACATGTCACCAACTTCACAAAACGTAAGGACTGAGTATTTCTTTTACAGATATAAAATCTATAATTGTATATTTCATAGAATAGTCAATAAGACATTACATATATATAAAGATATAAAATATGATAATTAAGCATAATAAAATGCACATTTTGGTAATTATGGTACCTTAATCTTTGGAAATATCAATCACTCACACAATGACATCACCTCATTGTAACAATATATTTCTGACATTTGTCAAGTTATTGCTTCCATCATCCCTATGGTTATATTTCTTCAAGTACAACGTGGTTATTTCAATTCACGAATGCATTTCTCATTGAAAGAATCCATAAAAAAAATATAGTAAAATAAGTAATATTGAATGAATTCATTATTGGGTCACAATCCAGAGTATGTACCCCTAGTTAAAGTTCATACACAATTCGAATGCAATCTTTAAACATTCCTTTCTGATTTGCTAGTTGTAAACAGCTAAGAATTTCGTATGATCCTTCTACGTAAGCCTAAGCTTTGACAATAGCCTTACATACAATATTATTTCTGTATAACAGTATAACAAATAGAGGAATGACATAAGAGTATGTAATCAGATGTAATATTTCTTCCTGAAAGTACAATATGATTTTTGAAAGTTATTTTTATTTATGATCAAATTATTTCAAGCTTTTCACGATTATGCATCACGGGGATAAAAAAAATTGCGAACTCTTACTCCATCTTTTATATATAAAGGTACAGTTTGTTGAACCTACACCTGGCCTTGGATCAACTATTTCCTGCGAATTCAACTTTCATTCGTGTTCGTTTTCGGTTTATGTACACTCATTGTAAGTACAAATTTATGATTTAGTATGTGGTTTAGCTATTTACTAATCAGCTTGAAATAATCCTCATATTGCATATAATTCATATGAAGTGTCATTCAGGAAAGTTAGTCAATAGAACTTAACTTTTTTTTAATTTTAAGATCATCCCCTAGCGTTTCTGTTCATGATGTAAAAGACACAACAATTAAAACAACAATTGGCGATATCAAAGAAACTGAATCGACAAATATTCACCGAGTGATTGTCAAGATATCAAATCCTTTGAAAGTTAAAGAGAGTAATCCATGCCTTAAGCTTGAAAACCAGTATAACATCAAGTATTTTATTTACATTTGTTTCATGTATTATGAATTTTGGCTGAAATGATCGTATTTCTTTCTTTTCTTTCCATTCTTGAATTAACTATCAGTTATGTCCTTTATCCAGGAAAATCTACACTCGATGTTTTCACGTTGTTTGGAATTCTTCGGGTAAGCAATACACATATATTTCCTGATATTCAATCCAGATCAAAAGTCTAATAATAACCTTTCAAATAAGTTATCAAATAGATATCCGTATTGCCTAACTGTATCTGGATAAGGTCACAGGGTTAAGGGGTTTTCCCAGTCACAATGATGAAATGGAGCGATGTTACTGCCCCAAGATCATTTTGACAAGGTTGACTGGATTGAAAATAAATTATATTGATCGGCCTTATTACAGAACTAAAAAAATGAGACCTTAAAGTTACAATATGCTCGTGATTAAACTATATGCATATTCTTCACAATGTTAATTCATAGTTACAGAGAGAATTTATAATCTAATACAAAGCAAAACGACTGGCCTTGTGATGTGACCCTTAGACACTTAAGAAATGAATTTAATTTTTGAAGATTCATGAGGACATGAACTACGACGCTTCACGCAGGCATAATTCATGTAGCGCGTTAGCGCTTCATGATAAATATGCTGGCGTGAAAGGTTGTAGTTCATGTACCCCATGAATCTTCAAACATTAAATTCATTTCTTATATTTACATTATTTTCTGACGAGTTACCACAAATTACACCATTCAACTGTCATTTTTAAAGCAAAACAGTTTGCACTATAGTTTTGACGTCAAGTACGGTATTATTACGTAACAATGGAGATATTCATGCTCATCCATGATATTTCATGAGAAAATAAACAGTCTTCTAATTTGCAAAGAATCTTAAGGAAAAATATTTGGAAATGTAAATATATTAATTTGGACTGAGTCAGAATTGTCATCATTACGTTTACAATGAGCTGAATCAGAGGACATATGTACATGTATCTATCATCCTTTTCAAATAAAAAATAAGTAAATCAAGCAAGGTCTGTAAACAAAACTAGCTAATTAGTTTTTTTTACACTTGAGAACTATTTCTGATTAACTAGCTAATTAGTTAATCAGAAATAGTTCTCAAGTGTAAAAAGTGTTTTTCTTTAATATTGCTAGTGATGATTGTAAGAATTAAAATTACTTTACATTCACTCAAAACCACAAAAAAAAGTTCTGATTACAATTATTTCTTCGATTAATTTATTTTTATCAATTTACAAATCATTCCGAATTCAAGAAGTGTGTATGAATCTACATGTATGTTATTATTATTCTGTGTTAATTGTACTTAATACAATGTACTTGTGTATTATCACAATTCTATAACATTTATACACAAAAAATGGACATGGTATGATGCTTCTGTACTTACTAAAAAGCGCATTACAATTCATAAATAGAGGAATAAAGAGATAGGACACACGAAAAACGGAATCACAATTTTTTTTATATCTTAACTTAAACATGTTAAAAGCTAAATACGAAAACAACAACAACAACAACAACAAAAAAACAACAAACAAACAAAAACAAAAACAAACAAAAAAACAAACAAACAAAAAAAAAACACAAAAAACAACCCAAAAACAAAAACTTAAAAAAAACAACACAAAAAAACCAAAACAAACAAACAAACAAAACAAAACAAAATTACAAAGCTTAGAAAAGTTTCTGATACTTAAAAGTTAAAATAAGAGCAGATTTTTTAAAAATCTTCACCTCTTTATTCTTTGTATGGGGGACAAGTCAAAACAAAATGAATTTTATCTCCTACGAGGGTTTTTTTTAAAATTCACAGTGTGTTCTTTTAAAGTATTTCTATGACGTCCTTTTTTAATTGTAAGGTTATGTGAAGACATTCTTATTGAATGTATTATTCTAGGTATGCAAGCATTCTCTTAAATTAAAAAGAACATTCTTTTTCTGACTACTGTTTTGGCAAACGATTCATTTACGGGCGTGTTTCCACCGACAGTATCTTCCAACTATTCTCTTTGCACATATGATATTGTGTTTTCAGATACTGCTTCAATTGGTTTGAAAACAACCTGTCTTATGCCATGGTAACATGTTTTTTCATGTAAAAATGCTCGAAGATTTTCATCTATTAAGCTAGAAGTATTTAAACAGTTTGTTACATAATACATTGTACATGTTTGTGACTTTGGACGTAAGTTCAGCTCGTGTCAAGTGTTTCTTTTTATGCATGATTTGAACTTGAGGGATATTTTCTCGGTTACTGTATTTTGTCTACCATAAAATCAGCACCCATCCAAACTTACACAGTAGGAGCTAATATTATTCAATACCAAAATCATGATATATTACGTACAATTCAAAGATTTTTTTTTTAAATTTCTGTAGTTAAAAAATGCCATTATTCTATTAGAAATACTAGTATATTGTTTATATGCTTAGATAAGGGGTCACATCATAATACTTAAGAAATTATAAGAGTGTTGAATGCGTTATTAAGTTATTAAGCTAGATAACTTCCCCAAAAATGATAAAACTATTTTTGAATCTCGTCGTATAATCTAAAATCGTCTGTTCAAACTTGTATCCTACTTGGTTAAGATCCCGACTGACATTTAACGCACATATTTTACTTTGTTTTTTTAATTTTTCTTTCTTTTCAGTGACAGTGGAGAAGTTAGATGTTACGCTTTGAATGTCAATGATGTGCATGACAGTAGGGAAATTTTAAAATTCTTTGAAAATACTTAAAACAATATTTTCCATTAGAAACTTTTCATTTAAATAGATTTATTAGAGCAATCATCATATTCTTTTAGTGTGTTCCCCCAATCCATGCCTTAATGATGGTATCTGTCAGACCATGTCAAATGGAACAATGAAATGCTACTGCAGTAATGATTCAGTCACCGGAATATTTTGTGAGAAAGGCATGTTTTAAATTATATCCATGGTTATGACTATTAAACCTAGCCAGCTAAAAAAATTGATAAAAAAGACTCTATTTTTGCTAAGCTTTATTTCTTTTGGGGGTTTAGAATATTTGGAAGACTGCAAAAGAGCATCTCCGTGTAAAAACAAGGCCGCATGCTACACCGTTAATCAGACTGAGACATGCATCTGTCGACTTGGATTTCATGGACCAATTTGTTCCGAGGGTAAAAATAATACAAAATTGTATTTATCTATCAAATTTGAAGTAGGTACCATTTTTTGCCTTATTCGCTTATTTTTAAAGGGTTACGAATCGGTGGAAGATATAGTTTTGTTACGACTTCAGAATAGGTAAACACACACAGCTTATAAAGACTAGGTAAAGGAGCTGATTTGCTATTTTTTCTTGTCGTGCACATAGAATTGTTATTTAATGAAAGGCAAAAAGACATGTTTTAATCTTAATGGAAGGCGTAGTGATATATCATAGAGGAATACACCCTTATGAAAATTGCATCAGTGAAAATTGTGTTTAAGGATACTAGAGTAACACAAGTAATCTACATTCATTGCTATTTATTAGTTGTGTGGTATCTGTTGTACATTTTCTGCCCTCCTTGGTGCGTACTTTTGCGTAATTTACGACTTTTACAAAGACAGTTAAAACAAATCTGTAACCCTTCGGTAATAGATATTCATCTGCAAAGAACTTGTCATCAAAAGAGAATATTTCAACATAAAAAATACATGCTTTAATAAATCGTTCAAATTATTCTCTCACCCGCCTAAATTCTAGAATTGACATGCAAGCATCAGTATGCATTTTAAGATAATAATTGTTAAAATCATGACTGTTATAAAGAATAGGCATGACCAATATCTATTGTTTTATATCATGTCTCTCCTGGCTGCATCAGTAGAATAAAGACCATGTGATATTATAAAAAACACAACGTTTGAAAATTATTCACGATTAAAAAGCACAGATTTAGAGGAAATTCATATATATTGGTTTTATTCACGATTAAAAAGCACAGATTTAGAGGAAATTCATATATGTTGGTTTTATTCTCATTTTACATGCATGTGAAGATACTCTTAATCATGACATTATCACAAGTGAGTGAAATGTATGGATTATTTTTTTTTTTTCAATTTTTTAATTTTTAATTTTTTAGATGCAAACGAAAATCTTACAAGCACAGTGGACACTGGGGTTAGTGTTTAATGTTTAAATGAAATTGAACTTGAATTATAAGAAAATTAAATATTAAATAAATATCTCTATAACAGATATATGTCTATACATTTCTTTGCAGTGATGTCTATTTTTCAATTTGCATTACATTAAAAATTGATCTGTGAACTTACAGCGTCATTTAGGAGGCGCTTCATATTTTGAAAGGTGTGCAGTTTGTTGCATTTTGTTCAGGCCAGATTTACAGATGTTGCGCTACCAAAAACAGTTATTTGCTACATTTCCTCTCCATGCCCGATTCCGTTTACAGTTACCAGAAACATTCATGACAAGTACGTACTTAAATGATTGTAATGGACAATATTTCTTTGATTGAGATTTTTTTATGTAATAGAAGTAGAAAAAAATGTTAAGCCTAAAAATATATCATAGTAAATGAATCAGTTTGTTACAGTTTGTCACACGCTTTCTGAATCTCCATAACTAAACAAGCATTCTTAGAGTATTACATTAGCAGTACTAGTCCCCTACCGGCAAGTGTAATCTGGTTCCCGCTAAAAATTGAAAATGCCATAATTCCGTCAAAATTCAATGAAGTAGGATGAAATGCAAACTTGATCTATAACTCATCATAGTAAAGTCACAGATCAAAAATCAGCTCAAAATCTGCGAGCGTTTAGAAAAAAAAATGCGGAAAACCCTGAAAAAATTCAAAAGGTCGTAATTCCGTCAAAAATAAATGAAGCGGAACGAAATGAAAACTTGATCTTTAACTCATCACTCACATACCAAAAATCAGCTCAATATCTGCAAGCGTTTAGAAAAAAAATGCGGAAAACCAAGTGGGACAGACTGACAGACAGACAGAGGGACAGACAGACAGACGGACAGACGGACGGACAGACTCAGAGGAAACCTATAGTACCCTCCGGTTTCACCGGTAGGGAACTAATAAAGTTTTCACTGCAACATCAAGGAGTGACAAAAGTAATTTTTCAAAAAATGTTTTATTCTTTATGTGAATTCATTATCATAGATTGGACAAAAAACTGATTCGTAGAATATTTATCAAAAGTTTTTTTTTTCAATGATTCAATTTTGTTTCTGTTCTTTATCGAATGTAGTTCATAAAATCCAATGCAAAGCATATAACTAGACTAAGTTAGTACAATGAAGATGTCCCTAAATGTTAGAGTCATGTCACAGACAACACATTCTACAGATATAAATCTCTCTATTTATATAAATATAAATCTACAGATCTAAATCATAAAAATAAACATGACTCTCATCATCTGTTTTGGGCGTTCAACGAAATAATAGTCTCTGCGATGATTTTTAGCACGTTTGTGAAAATCCACATGTACCTGCTGAGAACAACCCACGGTTTACTTTGTTATATTATAATCAGTTCTAGTATATAATTGCATAATTACAACTTAGTACTTTTTCCAATTTAAGGCCTTCGATTGTTCCTGGGTATTTAGATCCTTCAATGAAAATCCTGATGTTAGAGCTGTTACACATAGAATCACGTGGTGGTATTGTACATGGAATCTTAGAGGTGATTGATAATACCCTGGGAACAAAAACAATATGTCTGGATTCAGTGGAAATCTCCAGGCAAGTTACTATTCTGATTTTCCAACAATATGACCATAACCCTGTTTTTTAATATACAAGTAATAAAAATAATACATTTGAAAAGAAGTACAAATAATACTATCACAGAATAAATTTAGCCAAAAATATCAAAGCAAAAAATTGGCATTTAAAGTTTTTTTCTGCAATAAAGTAAGTTTTACCTTTTTTTAAAACCATGAGATGATTACTACATTTAAAGCATATTATTATTATTATTTTACACTATTATTTATACACGATTATACATAATTACACTTCCTGTGGCCTTCAACTCGACATATCGAAATATCGACGCCGTATCATCAAATAACAATATATAGTTACTTCCATTCATATGTCGACTTGATTTATCCCAGTGAACTTGATATAAAAGACACCACAGAGTCTGACACGTCTGTTTCACTATATATTTTACTAAGTTAATGGTAACCTAACAACAGCAAAAAAATACGATAAACGTGATGACTTTAAAGGACTTATCGTACGATCTTTCAAAAATCGTAATTTTATGAAAAGTATACCCACAACCTTGTTTATCAAAATACTGAATACTAGAAACGTTGTTAAAATCATATTTTAAGAGATGTTGAGGGTTGGAATTCAAATACGGTAATATGCGGTAATATGCATATTTCAATCGGATTTCGGCTAAATTCTGCTCTGGCGTCATAGACGACAATTCAGTGATAGAGAATTTGCACACTTATCAGCGACAAATGCAGCTTAATTACGAAAAATGCTGAAAAATTTAATTCCTAACGTGCTTTTCAATCACCATAGAAACATAAACTAGTTCTAAATTATAAGGCTTTTGAAATATATTTTTATTCCAAACATTTAGAATCTATAGCTCTGATAACGGCAATGTTTCATGATCGAGGAATTATTTTTCAAGACCGCCATTCCTTTCAAAATATATGAAGACATACTAGCATTAATTAATGTTCTGTTAAAAACAAAGAAAAACAAAGGTACATAGTGAGCAAATTAAATAGGCTAATACATGTGATAGGCAAATCAAATTTTATTGTGATGGCGAGTTTTTTCGTCTTCGCCTCGTCTCCCTTGCTATCTACGCTGCTATTTTACAATGTTTACAGATTATTAAGATTCTTTCTTTCGACAATTCAAACATATAAGGTTGGATATTGAATTTCTTATCGACAAAATCAGTGATTTGGTCGTCCTAACCGCAGTAAATTCAGGTTGTATCGCGTATATTTAAGTAAGATTAACCTGAAGAACTGATCAGCAATTGTCGCCTTTGACATCACAGAATCACGAGGTGTCTATCTAATTAACTTGGATTTTTAATTCAGGGGTTTTCATTTGAATCAATAATTGGTTAATTACCGCGGTATATCCGCAGTGAAACACGAAATTTATAAACTGTGGTCATGAGAAACGTAATACGCCTTTAATTTCAAATAATTTAGAGACATGCGATAAGTCCTTTAAATTTTTCATCGTCAACTTCCCTTATTTATGTAGCAATATATCCTTTTTACCTGCATATGGGGTTTGTATCTTAAAGTTATCATTTCGTAATTTCTTTGGTCGATACAATGACCTTGTCAGCAAATACAATTTATCATTAAGTCAAATGTTGACTGACTTTTTTCATACTAATTGTTAGGCTATTATTTGCACACTTAATTGTCGATGAATTTTTCCTTTATTTCTTGATCATGACAAGGAGCACACGGCGGATGGGACCGGTCGGCAGGGGATGCTCACTCCTCCATGGCACCTGATCCCACCTCTGATGTCTTAGAGGTCCGTGTTTGCTCTGTTCCTATTTTGTAATGTTTAATGGATAATAATTTTGAGCTCGTTTTCCAGTTGATTCGATACACATGAGAATGCTCCACATACGAACAATATCTAAAAGAAGGCAAGCTATTGACAACAAGTTGATGAATTTTAATGGATTAATGGAAGAAACAGATGTCATTTGTTTATTGACTTCATAATAGTATAAACCACGTCTTACTTGGGTTTAATTTAATTCTTTTCAACTCATCCAGTCATTGATACATAAAAGAACAGTGTAACTACACCAGCTGTCATTTCGTATTCGTATATTTTGGACAGTTTCAAAAACTGTAGGGATGGAACACGGGTATGAAACGCGTTTTGAAGTGCGTGTTGTCAACGGTAGATTGTTCATTTCTTCCCATCTAAATCACAGTTTTGAAATTTCAGGGATGCTAGGATCGGGGATGAAACATGTTTTGAAGTGCATGTTGTCAACGGTGAGTTGTTCAATTCTTTCCATCTAAATCACAAGAAAACAATTATTCATATTTTAGTAAGAGTGATGAATTAATGTAGATTTCATAAAAGCAATGATAAAATGTTACACCAATAAATTTTTCACAGTATGATAATCTTTTGGAAAAAAATAAAGGTCATGCAAACTTAAACCTTTGCAAAAAAAAAAAAAAAAAAAATGAAGAAAAGAAAACAATACAATCTTAAATATCCAGTAATGTGAAATGGGCATTTATTTTCTCTTAGAGAACAATATTTGAAAACATTCATTAATATTGTTGATGTATTTTTGATTAAAACATTTGCCTTACCTTTCGATTTCTAGGTCATTATTACAGAGATTTCAGTGTAAGTAAAATTTAAATCGTGTCATTTTCAGACATATCGAAAAGAGAAGGTGAAAGATATTGAAAAGGAGATGTCAGTTTCAGGGAGCAACATGATTTTTTTCACCTATGATCAGGGCTCTAATTGGCGACTAATTTAGTCGCGATGGCGCCTAAAATTTCTGATTGGCGCCTAAAATTTTTCCATAAGTCGCCTAATTGGCGACCATTTTAAATTGACTTGACAATCGTCGAATTCCGGAAATTTTCACATTTTTAACAATTTTTCTGAAAAAGCGAAAAGAAATTTAAAAGAAAGGGCATTATTTTTAGCAATGGACATGTCGTGTTTTCTTAGGCATGTCATGGGTCCCTATATTCTATTAACATTTAAAGTTGGCGCCTTAGAAAAATGGTCTGGCGACTAAAAATTTGCATTGGCGACTAATTTTTTTTGATAAGGCGCCTACTGGCGCCTAAATTTTAGAGGCCACTTAGAGGCCTGCCTATGATTTTTTTTTTTAATTTCAGAATAATCCCCGATTTCTGAAACCCACATTTGAAGACAGCAGTGTATTTCAGTGTTTGGTAGGGGAATACTGTCATTTACATCTCTGGACATCAAAGTTGTTGACACAAACCAGTTGGTAGATACACTTTTTAGATTTAGATCATTTGAAAAATAAAATGCATGATTATGTGATATTGAACTGAAAGTTTTTTTTTTTAAATTTTCGTTCGTCTATTTCAGTCCAGTTCTGAAATCTGACGTAAGCTTTGACAGCGGTGTGTTCATTATTCCACCATTAAATCAAACTTTTTTCCCGTGCATGTATGATGTTGTGCTTAGAATGGACCAACCTACAAATAAATCTATCTGCTTTTCTCTGTATGTATTTATTTTTTTGTTATATATTACCGCATATTTGAGCTCGTCTCACAATATGCGTCGTTATCAAAGCTCTACCGTGTTATTAATGTCATCATTCGCCTCTTATTTTGCGAGAAACTGATGATTGAGTAAAGTCGGAATTTTGTTATCCACCCATACAGTGTCGGTACTTAGTCACTATGTTTCCGGGTTTTCTCCCCTTTTCTATGCATCAATGAAAGTGAAAGGTGGGTGATGAAAGTATCTGATTTAAGTTTTGTATTTTGAAATAGTTTATCACAATTTCTGTTTTTTAAAGTTAATTTTCAGTCAAAATAAGTATCATTAATTATTTTATTGACATTTATATCCCTCGACGGCGAATATTTGATTGGATGGAAACGGATTGATTTGACACACCGTCCTTCCATTGTACTGGCACATGTTACATGGGATAACAATGGCAATAACCAATTTCAGCAACAGATTTTGAATAAAGAAAATGTTATTTAGTTGAATAATCTTAAAAAGAGAGCCAGCGTGAAAATGATGATTATTAAACTTCAAATTTATTCGGTACCCTTCTTCAAGGTCAAAAACGTTTCTGGATATTTAGATACTTATGCAATTATGTCCCTTGGCCACAATATTTAGAGGAATATCCATATTATTCTCACAGTGGCTTCTGTAACATAGATCTGTTATTTATATTTATCAGTTTAATACTTGAAAACATTTAGTGACCACAAAAAAGGTTATATATATTGTACAAGGATAGTGTTACCCTGTACCTTTAAAGCAGTAAGTAAATAAATACAGATTGAAAAGTAATTAAAATACAGTAAATCTATTGCAGCACATCCAAATGTTATATAGCTGAATTCACAAAGGGAAGTACTGTATTTTATTTTAAGTGTATATATAGATAATAGTTTATTTCAAATCAAGCCCACCCCCCCTCCCCGAGAGGCATGAAAAAGATACATTTGTAAACAAATGCAGTAATTAATTGTGATATAAAATCATGTAAAGTAAAATGCAAGAGCAAGTTGTTGTGCTTTACAATATTGTATTACAATAATGTATTATAATATGCATATGAATAAAGCATGATGTAGATGTGTAAAATTGTACATCATATTTACTGTTGTCACATGTAGTGGCAAAACTTTAGGTAGGTAAAAATGAATGCATGAATGATGACTTAATATATTTGAGACTTAAATATCAGTTGGATGGAAGCATTACAATGAGCAATTCAGCTATTTAAAATGGGGGCATGAGCACCCTAAGTTGAATTGTACATTGTCCAAATCCAATACAATACAGTCAAATTTGAGCCAGCAGCATCCTCACCTATCAGGATATCACTTCTCTTGTAGGGCTTGACAAGGAGGTCAATTTTGGCCTCCACCAGACCAATGATAGAAGGGAATCGCAATTTAAAAACACAATTGTTCACCAGCTAGGGTAGGGTAGATAGGATTCCCCATATTTTTGATAACTCAAATTCTATCAAGGCTAGCTACTGTTTTGCTTGTCAGGATATCAAATGGGCCCAGATTAATTAAGATGGAGTCAAAGACACGTTTCAGATATATATTCTGTGTCTGCTCATTGGTTCAGTTAAGATTATAAATGAAATCAAGGAGGTTTGGGCTATAGGGTCATTTTCAAAACTGTGTCCACCTTGCATAATCATGAACTTTTCTAATAGAGCCTGTACTTTAATTGAGTGAAGGTTTAATGATGACATGTTTATTGTCCTCTCTCTCCTGCCCCCTAAGGCCCCTTGGGTATGATACATAAATTTATAGAGTTGTGTTAAGTAAAAGTTTTGTACCTTCTCAACTTAACCTCAAAAACTCAAATAAACTTACATTATTATCAAATTATATAGAATATTTCTTGTTTAGGTTTGGGAAAGTGTTTGATTTTACATGTAGGAACTAATTTCATCATGGGAGATTTCTTTCAATTTAATAAAAGCTTCTGGTCTTGTTTGATATTTTTAGGCACACAAGGGCCTTTTAATAGGTTCAAATATAAATACAATTCTTCAAATACAAGTCTAAGTAAATAAATAAAAAAAATAATAATAAATAAATAAATAGGTAAAATGAAATGCAGATAATGTTAGCATAGCTTCAGGAAAAAATTGTCACAAAAGACATTGTAACTTGACAAGTTTATTAGAAATATTCACATTTAATCCATTGAGTTATCTGTCTTATCAGAGGGTTAGTTAACCTTAAAATATGATTATGCAACTTAAATTTCCTGACCTTTTACAATTTTACTCGAGTAACTTAGTTTTGACAAATGAATAAATTATAGGGTCCTTAATTGTTACAGTCAATGCAGGCATATTGGGACGGGGCTGTGGATGTGAATCTTTTGTGTTTTGGTTGGGAAGGAGCATTGACCAATGGTCAAGCAGTTAGGGGGGAAAAGGCTATAATAAAACATTATGTAAACTTGGGCCTAACTTTTGGTCATGTATGGTTTCTTTTGTGTCTCTAAGTGGGAAAATAAAAATTAAAAGATTTGTAATTTAACTCAGGAAAAAAATTGCTTAAGTTCAAAATTTAATTCATGGTTCTTAAACTCACAAAAGGTGATATGTTTGGGAAACTGGTTTTATTCATCATGAAATATAAAACATAAAAAACTGAGCATAAGGTAAGATTTACTATTAATCTGCTATGCAAGCAGATGCAAATTCTTGGGGTTGAAGGGGGAGGGGGGTTAGACATATATTGTTCCACAGACCTGAATTGAATAGAATCAGATCCTTTTCCTGCAATGTTTTGTATGTTGTCTCAGAAATGAGGCCACTGGTTTGTTAAAGACAGCAATTCTACAGAAACTGCTGACACATATCATGCATATATCTAATGGGCATTTCTCCATTGAAAAATGTCAGTTCAAACCCAATTGCCAATTACATATATGTCATTGGTGTACACCCCTCAACTAAGCAGTTAGCATACATGTACTTTTATAATTATGTTTATATATTAATGTCAAAGGTGATTCAGATGTATCATCAATGCATATATAGTTACATCCATGTATCAGCTAGTGGGTACAAATGCAAATCTGAAGGAGTTAAAGATTCATTTTAGCAAAACTTCCCCAGCATTTTAGGGTATTAAATAAAGGATAGGTTGCTATTGCCTTAGCTCATACTTGGACAATTAATTTGTATGCTGGCCTTCATATAATTATGCATATTTACAACTTTAAAACAGATTTGAAGTCCATATATTTTTTCCCCCAACCTAGTCTTAACCATATTTTTGCCTTGGGGTGAGGGATGAGGGTAACCCATTCTAATTAATGTTACAGTTTCAGTATTCCTGAAGTAAGAGGTTTAAGGTGATAAGATGCAGATTTTGAGAGAGTACCAGCTGGGCAAGGGTCTAAAATATAGAATTTAGTCACATAGGTACTTCATGTCTGGTGCAGTACATATACATCTACAAATACTTTGGAAATTATTAACATTTCATAGTCCTCCATTGTGTCTCTTGGGTTGGAAGGTAATTAGTATGAAATATATGGAGATAACGAACAGTATTCAAGCTCAAAAGTCCATTATACAATACAAAATAGGAGCAGAGCAAACACGGACCTCCAAACATCAGAGGTGGGATCAGGTGCCATGGAGGAGTGAGCATCCCCTGCCGACCGGTCCCACCCGCCGTGTGCTCCTTGTCATGATCGGGAAATAACGGAAAAATCCGTCGACAATTCAGTGTGTAAATAATGGTCTAACAATAAGTATGAAAAACGTCAGTCAGCATTTGACGCAATGATAAATGTATTTGCTGACAAGGTCATTGTATCGACCATAGAACTTACGAAATGATGACTTTAAACGAGACAGCTGATATTCTTGTTTCATCAACTTATTTGTCAATAATTTACCTCGTTTTAGAAATTGTACATACGTAGAGCATGCTCTTGCGTATCGAATCAACTGAGAGATATATACCCCGTATGCAGGTGATGAAGGTATGTTTTAATCAATTTTAAATGGAGAGACTTTGGCAGAGCTTGGTTTCAAAAATAAGTGGTATGACCTTATTCCTTGAGAACCAGCACAGCTGCTGTTGAGCAAAAATGGTTTTCCAGATTAGGTAATAAAGATAGCAGGGAGATAGGTATCCCTTAATCTCTTTACAAAGTGGGAATGTGATAACACTTAAAATTTTGTCATTGCAACATTGTCAACAATGCAGGAACTGCAGCCATATGGAGATGGGAAAAGTTGGGGGGGGGGGGTAGGGAGGTAAAGAGGATTTGTGCTTGTTTATTACTTGTTTGCAATCTCAGCTGGAAGTAGTTTAGAACTTTACAAATGACTTTAAAAATAAATAAATAAATGAATGAATAAACAAATAAATAAAAATACAAGAATAGGGAAAGTGGGGATTAGAGATTTATATTATTTACATATTTTCTTACACCAGACTAGTTTAGTTCTTATTCATGCCTCAGTAAAAATAACCTGTTGTTACTAAAAATATCAAAAATATCAGGGTAATAAAAAGACCCAAAGCAGAATTAACAAAAACTTGTACTAGATTCCAGGGAGGGGGTGGGTTGTTTTCAGGCACACTTAATTTGTAGGCAAAACCAGATCATTTATCTTAAATACAGCAGGGATGGCTGATAAAGAATTGATTACTTGTATTGAAGATACAGTGAGTAGTGGAGACAATGAGAAAGTGGTATTCACAGTGGGTGGGGTGCTGAGGGTTTTGAGTAGGCTAGGGGTCCACGGTGGGTGGTTAAACTGAAGCTGCCTACCCCCACCAGGTGGCGGTGGGCACCTGCGGTGCCCATGTGGCGAAATCGTCACCTTCAATTTAACCATTGAACTATTTATATTCTTGACTTGTTGTGCTTGATGTTGATATATGTGATGGTTGATGTTGATATATGTGATGTTGACTTTGAAAATTATATCTCATATA